GCAGGTGGAGGGAGACACAGGCTTCCCACCAAGCAGGGCATCCGATGCAGGACTCAATCCCAGGACCCTGAGATCATGACCTGAGCCGAAGGCAGATGCTTGACGACTGAGCCACTCAGGCGCCCCCATTTCTTCCATTTTAAAGCATTGATATATCATTCACATACCATACAACTCACCATTTAATGTACTTTAACCATTGAATTTAAGCACAGTTCAGTGGTTCACAGTATATTCACTGAGTTGTGCAACCATCCGTCACCAAAATCACTTTTAGAACATTTTCAAAGACCCAAGAAGACACCCTGTATCCCTTAGCTGTCACTCCCAAGTCCCACATCACCCACCTCCAGCCATGGGTAGACCACTAAACTACTTTCTGTCCCTATATATATTTTGTTTCTTCTGGGCACTTAATATAAGTGAAATCCTACAAGATGTCATGTGGGGCTTATTTCACCTAAGCATAATGTTTTCAAGGTTCATCCATGTTGTAGCATGTTGTCAGTACTTCGTTCTTTTTTAATGCTGAATCATATTCCATTGTGTGGGATATACCATATTTTATCTATCCATCATCAGTGATGGATATTGGGTTATTTGCACTTCTTGGCTATTGTGGATCGTGGTGCTATGAATATTCTTGCACAAGTTTTTGTGCAGGTATGTTTTCATTTCTCTTGGCTATATAGCTCTGAGTGGAATTATTGGATCATGTGGTAAGTCTGTGTTTAACCATTTGAGGAGTTGCCAGTCTGTTTTCCACAGCAACTGTGCTATTTCGTTCCTGAAAGCAGCATATGAGGGTTCCCATTTCTCCACATCTTTGTCAATACCTGGCATTTTCTGTCTTCTGATGATAGCCACCCTGGTGGGTATAAAGTGGTATCTTGTTGTGGTTCAATTTGCATTTTCCTGATGGCTAATGGTGAGCATCTTCTTGTGTGCTTATTGGCTGTTTGTGTATCTTTTTGGAGGAATGTGTATCTAGATTTTTTGCCCATTTAAAAATATGGTCATGTTTTTATTGCATTGTAAATGTCTTTATGTATTCTAGGTACAAGCGCCTTATCAAATATGATTTGCAATTATTATCTCCCATTTTTCTGTGGGTTGTCTTTTAACCTTCTTGATGGTGTCCTTTGAAGCACCCAAGTTTTAAATTTTGATGAAGTCCCATTTATCTATTTTTTTCTTTTGTTGCTTGTGCTTTTGGTGTCTTGTCTAAGAAGCCATTGACTAATCCAAGGTTATGAATATTTAATTATGTTCTCTTCTAAGGGTTTTATAGTTTTAGTTGTTATATTTACACTTTCATCCATTTGAGTGAATTTTTGTATATGGTGTGAGGTAAGGGTTCGATTTCCTTCTTTTGATGTGGCTATCCAATTGTCCCAGCACCATTTGTTGGAAAAAATCATTTTCCCTCATTTATGCCTTGGTGCCCTTGTCAAAACTCAAGAAATCAACTGACTGCACGAAACCTTTTTTGACCCTCCCAACTGAAAGAGGACCTGTGCCGAAAGAGAGCAGCCTCCAGGTGGAGCACTCCCAGTCCTGTGGCAGAAGGAGAATGAGACATGATAAAGTCTGGGCTGGCTCTTACAAGTTTTGGCTCGGAAGTGACACGTCACTCCCATTCTTACTTCATTGGCCAAGAAAAGTCGTAAGGCCACCCCGAGGTCCTTGGAAGGAGGAAAATTAGTCCTTCCGTAGGGTGGGGAACTGCAGGGAGGGAAGAGATTCTTCTGGGGAACAGTAATACAATTTATGCTTCCTCACCATCTCCTGCATGACCGGACACCTTGCTCTCCTGGTTTTCTTCTGACTTCTTCTTGCCCCTCAGCTTTCTCTGCCTGCTTCTCTCATGTTGGCGTTTCCCAGTGTTGTGAGTTTGGCTCTCTGGTCTTCATACTCTACAGACTTCCTGGGGAAATCTCATCCACTCCCACCATCTACTACCTGCCAACTCTTAGTACACTTCCAGCTTCTGACCTGTGTAGCTGATGTCTACTGAACATCTTCCACAGACATCCCAAATTCAGCATGTCCACACCCAAATTTATCACTGTCTTCATGCCACCCGAAATCTGTCCCTCCTCCTGAATCCCCAACTTGGGAAATAGCACACCATTCTCCCAATTGCCCCATCCAGAACCTCGACACCTTTTTTTTTCCCTTAAGATTTTATTTATTTATTTACAGTGTAAGCAGGGGGAGGGGCAGAGAGAGAGGGAGAAGAGAATCTTTAACAGACTCCCCACTGAGCATGGAGCCTGACGCTAGGCTCAATCCCACAACCCTGAGATCATGACCTGAGCCAAAATCAAGAGTCAGATGCTTAATTGACTTAGCCACCCCGGCACCCCATAGTCTTGCCTCTTTTAATCCATTCTTCATGTTGCAACCATGATTTTTATAAAATGCAAATCCAGTTTTGCTACTCTCCAGCCCCCAAATCCCTCATTGGCTCTCCACTGTTCTGGGGATAATGATTAATACACTCACAGTCTTTAGTAAGACCTTTTATGATCTGGCCTCTGTCATTTCTCCAGCCTCTATAGCATCTGCCTGGCATTTTATTCGTCTTGGCTAGATTTAGTTTACTAAACATACTGTGATCTTTTCACTCAGAGCTTTTGAACAAGCACTTCCCTGGCCTGGGATACTCTTCCTTCTCCTCAGGGTAACTCCTACTTGTTCTTAAAGTAGTGGGCTGTAAATAAATAAAATCTTAAAAAAAAAAAAAGTAGTGGGCTGGACATCGCTTGCTCCTTCTCTTCAAACCAGGCAAACACAAACCAATTGAAAGATAGTTTAGCTAAGAGGTTAAGAGGGAGGGCTCTGCAAACTGATGGCCCAGTTTTGAATCCTGGCTATCATCTACCAGCTTTGAAATGGTATGCAAGGCCTTACTCCTCTGTGCCTGTGTTTCCCCAGGCATAAATTAGGGAATAATAAGAGTCCCTATTACATAAGGCTGTGGTGAGGATTAAATGAATAAATCTATAGAAAGTGCTTAGAATAGTGCCTGACACTGTAAGGGCTCAACCAGTATTTGCCATTACTTTTAGGTATCTCCACAGCACCCTATAGTTACCCCTATAATTAAGCATTTATCAGATAAATGTAATTCCCAATTTACTTACCTGACTACTTTACTGCATTGTAAGATCCTTAGACTTGGGACAATGTCTTATTCATTAGGCTTCAGTTCCTGACACGCAGTATTTATTAAATATTTGTGAAATGACTGAATAAATGAATGAACTTGTCTTCATGCAACGATCACTTCTCATCTTCTATTATGAGGATAAATTCTGTCCTCCCCACTTGATGTACTGCAAGCTTACTGAGGGCAGGATCACAAGTATGGTCATCTTGGCCAATCCCATCTCCCTCCAACCCAATATTGCTTGGCAATATTGAATTAATCAGTTGAATTAAATTCTCCTCCCTGGGGCACCTGGGTGGCTCAGTCGTTAAGCGTTGGCCTTCGGCTCAGATCATGATCCCAGGGTCCTGGGATAGAGCCCCGCATTGGGTTCCTTGCTCAGCAGAGAGCCTACTTCTCCCTCTCCCACTCCCCTTGCTTGTGCTCTCTCTCTCGCTGTGTCTCTCTCTGTCAAATAAATAAATAAAATCTTAAAAATAAATAAATAAATTTCCTCCCTGAGAGCCTTTAGTCTTTTCCTGGCTTTTCCACTTGCCATAACCTCTGATCTATTTCTACATAACCCACTGTAACCTGAAATTCCAGGGAAAGACTTTCCTGTATCTGCTGCCCAATTGTTAGAGTAGGTTAGTTATCCAAGAAGGGATTGAGGACAGTAAAACTCAAGTTAGAGTTAGGAGTTACATTTAGGTGAGGTGTCCTGTGATTTTTGAAAATAATACTGAGCCGAGGGATTTTGTTCTTCCTGATCTTGTAAAAGCTACTGAAATCCAAGGCCCTGTTATAATTTACCTACAGGCTGGGTGGGTAGAAGAGCAGGCTGAAGCGAAAAGGGGATTAAGTAGGATGTAGAGATGCAAGTTTTAGTCTAGGCTGTCAACAAATATATGTGACCTTGGAAGTCACCACCTCTCTGGGCCTTACTTATCCCACCTGTAAAGTGAAGGAGTATAAATGGTCTCTTAAGTCTGCCATAAATTCTGATGTATCATGCATCATCCCCCCAGAAGTAGCTCATTCTAGGAAGGAATTTTCTACTGCCCCACTTGATCTGAGAAGACACAGAATTGAAATGGTGTAGAAGAGGGTGCCTGGGTGGCTCAGTTGGTTAAGCGACTGCCTTTGGCTCAGGTCATGATCCTGGAGTCCGGGAACTGAGTCCTGCATTTGGCTCCCTGCTCAGCAGGGAGTCTGCTTCTCCCTCTGACCCTCCCCCTCTCATGCTCTCTATCTCATTCTCTCTCAAATAAATAAATAAAATCTTTAAAAAAATAAAAAGAAATGGTGTAGAAGAAACCATACCAGGTGTCTTTAGCTCCATGGCCAGTGATAACTGAAAATAATCACAGAAATCATCTGGATAAATCAGGAAAGAATTATTCACATCTTGCAGGCAAGGCCTGAAGTGGGATGTGATACTGGTCTTTTGAGTGGGACATTCAAGTCCCAGCTTAGCCATGTACTAGTTTTGGGGCTGTGGGCCAGTGGCCTGTTAGTTAACTTCTTTACCCTCAGTTTCCTTGGTTGTAAAAAAGTGGGGCTCATATCTATGTATGGTAAGGATTAAAAGAAGCAGTGCATGTATCACACCTGGTGTATAGGCCTTGAATGAACATTAGGTCATCTTCCCTGTTCTATTCAATCCTTCACTAGCTAAAAGTACTTTCACAGATTCCCACCTGTGCCTGTGAAACTACTCATTTGCTCATCCTCAAAGGTATTTGGGTCCCCCAGATAAATGTCTAACACATACATTTCAAAATCAAATATTATACAAACCTAGGTATCTTCAAATTCAAGCAGTGGGTCAAGGTAACAAATACTGTTCTGTCAAAAAGGATCACTTTATTAATCTATACATAACACGTATAAAAGCAAGCCAAATCAGGATGTTTTCCTTAGCCATCCTTTCCACATTTTGTGTAGCTTTAGTGAACTATAAACCACTGATTTCTTCACACCTAAAAGACAAAAAGAAGAGATGGTGAGAAAATTGGTGCTTGCTGACTACATACTCAGCTAGAGCTTCCATGATATCCTGACCAGAGATCTATCTTTGGAGTGGGGCAGTAATGGGCTGACTGGGGTGGGGTCCCAGGAGACCCTGGGAGCCAAAGATGATTAAAGGTCACCATGATCAACATACGGGGAAGAGATTCTGATTTAGACATCTACTCCAACAGTGACACAGATGCCAAAGGTACCTGAGTTAACGGGATAAGTGAATCTTTTGAGTTACAAGTCTATCATCAACCTCTGACTTGAGTAGCTCTTTTAGAGAGGAGAAAGGAAAACAAAGACAAAACTCTGCATGTAACTGGGTATCCTCTGCTCCTTTTCTATGCCGGCATCCCAACCACCCCCAGCTCCCTGCTGCTGTGTCACTGAGTATGCCACGGCCTGCCCAGAACGAATGTCGGTTCCATCACTCTGCAGGTACCCTCTTCATCCCCTTTCAGATCCCTTCTATAGAGGGGCCTTCCTGAACCCCCCAGGCCAGCTCAAATACAGCTCCTCCTGGTTCCACAGCACCTGTGCTGACTTCTCTTACAGCACTTACCACACTGTGGGGTGCTTGTCAGCCTACTGACTTGTCCCTCTGCCTAGACTGGGAGCTCCTCAAGGACAGGGAGCTTGTCCCCTTCATTGCTGTATCCCCACCACCTAGTACAGTACCTAGCACATAGCAGGTACTCAGTAAATACTTTTGAAATGACGGAACAGATGCACCTCATTGAGATATTTGACCTTATAGCACCCTCCACCTACTTAATCACAAGTACCTGATGAAACTGGAGAAGAGGCTCTCTGGGGGCTAATGGGACAGAAGTAAAATGGGGTAGAATAATGGGATGCTATTTGTCTGTCAGGTCTAATAGGATTCTATTTGCAGATGGTATTATGGGCTCAACTTCCTTTGTGCTGAGGATGAGATCATTTAGTCCGTGTTTCAGGGTGTGGCCCAAAGATTCGAATGGTCTTTTTCCCCATGAGATAGGAACCGTGGTCTGTGCTGCAAGTCTGAAATGCACACCTCTGGCAGTGCGCTTTAAGCACTGGTAGGCACTGTGGATGAGGTAATAACAGCATTACATCTGGAGACTCCTAGTAGTGGGGTTTGAGTGGTCTCTTGAAAATACCCCGGCCTGTTACCTGTAAGCTGCCCAGTCCACTTAGAATCTTTGAAGAAACTACTGCAGGCAGTGGCAGGTAAAAAGTCTGCATACCAGGAAAATTGTTAGCAAATACTTCTAGAAACTTTGGCCCAGCTTGCCTACTGTTTGCAAATGGACTTAGCCTAGTCAAGAAACTCAGAGCTCCTTTCCCTGCCTCCACCTCTTTTAATTTTCTCCCTGGAGCAACCACTTTGGTGAACCTCACCCACTTGAGCATTGAGACTGGAAACTTCTTACGTAAGGTGCTTTTTAATATTCCAGCCAGAACCAATCGAGACACTAAGCAGAACACAGGTAGGTGCATACAGTAAGATTCAACACAGCAACCCCAGGGCACTGAGTCACAGCTAGAGGAAGATGCATCGGCCATGCTAAGACCCAGCTCAACTTCACAAACCTTGCATATAGATATGCTGGACCTTAACATTTAAGGTAAATATCTAAAGTACATGAGTGTCACCATGTAGCCATATTTTGCTGCTACTGCAAAGAAACCTCCCTTCATTGGGGTGCCTGGGTGGCTCAGTTGGTTAAGTGTCTGCCTTCGGTTCTGGTCATGATCTCAGGGTTCTGGGATCGAGCCCCACAATGGGCTCCCTACTCACAGGGAGTCTGCTTCTTCCTCTCCCTCTGCCTCTCCCTGGCTTGTGCTCTCTCTTTCACTCTCTCTCTCAAATAAATAAAATCTTAAAAAAAAAAAAAAAAGAAACCTCCCTTCATTAAAAACAGTCTCTCCCTTCGATGGCTCTGCCAGAGATTCTCAGAAAGACTGCAGCAGGGAATTGTGTTAGAGAGAGCACTGGAGGGGTGCCTGCGTGGCTCAGTCAGTTAAGCGGCTACCTTCAGCTCAGGTCATGATCCCAGGGTCCTGGGATTGAGCCCTGCACTGGGCTTCCCGCTCAGCAGAGAGCCTGCTTCTCCCTCTCCCTCTGACTGCCGCTCTGCCTACTTGTGCTCTCTCTCTGTCAAATAAGTAAAAATCAAAGAAAGAAAGAAAGGAAGGAAGGAAGGAAGAAAGAAAAAGAAAGAAAAAGAAAGAAAGAAAGAAAGAAAGAAAGAAAGAAAGAAAGACTCAAAGAGAAGTCAAGAGACCTGAATTCTAGTCCCAACTGGACCACAAACTTACAGTATGACGCACCTTCTCTGGGCCTCGACTTCCTCATCTGTAAAAAGACTGGCTGGACTAGTTTGGGGTTCCCTGACAAGGGGCCGTGGGCAGGTTTCAACATCGGACTGCAGGAAAGTTAGGAGGAAACCAGAAAAGTATGCTGTGTGCGTGGATGTGCTCACTTCTGTGCCGACGGTACAGTTTTCGTCGGGTTTTCACAGGGAGCCAGGATTTGCAGAAGGTTAAGAACCAACAGACTGGAATGAAGGATCCTTTCTGCCTTAATATTCTAATTGCAACACCAGTGGAAAACTGAAACTCCATGAAGTTGTGGTGGGCAACCTTTCCAATACAGGGCACAGAAGCTGCTTACCCATAAAGACAAAATTCACAAACTGGATTGAGTAAAAGAATGTCTTTTCATCAAAAGACACCATCCAGAGAATGACATGACAGCCCCCCATGCAGAAGACTTTTGCATTACATATTATCAGACAAAGGACCAGTATCCAGACTATATGAGGAATTCAGTAAGAAAAGCAGACAATTCAATAGAAAAATGAGCAAAACACTAGAATAGGCACTTCACAAAAGAGGATATCCAAATAAGTGTGAACAAATGCCCAGCTTCATGAGTCATCAGGAAAATGTAAAATAAAACTCCAATATGATACCACCACTCACCTACCGGAGTACCTAAAGTGAGAAAGACACGGAGCGTCAAGGGAGAAGGAGCCACACCAAGAGCTCAGCTAGTGGGGGTGTAATGTGGACAACTGTTTGGTAGTATTACCAAAGTGGAACATTCACATAACGCTATGACGCTGTAATTCTACCCCTAAGTACGTACCTAGGAGAAACGCCTATGTTCGCTTACCAAAAGACAGGTACAAAAACATTCACAGCAGCACTACCTGTAAGGGCCCCAAACTGGACCCAACCCAAGAAACCATCAACAGGAGAGTATATAAACTGTGGTGTAATCATACAATGGACTTGGTGCAATGAGGATAAATGAACGTAATATTACTGCTCCCAACACCATGTTGAATCTCACTGATGTAAAGAGGAGGGAAAGACCTGGGAGACTACATATTTATCTAAAGTTCAAAAATGGGCACAACAGAAGCATGGCATTGGAAGTCAGAGAGTAGTTACCCCTGGAGAACTAGTGACTATGACTGGCACACCATCTGAGGGACAGTCCTGTTCTATTTCTTCATCTGGGTCCTAGGTACACGAGTGCGTTCACTTGGTGAAAATTCACCAAATTTACGATTTGTGCACTTTTCTGTATCTATGGAGATTTTTTCCTACTACCAGAAAACCTAGAATCTTTCATTTACTCAGTCACTGAAATATACTGAACCAATATTTATTGAGCATCTATATAATATAAGACATTGAACTAGATGTTGAGGTTATGGTCTCTGCTCTCAGAGTTTACAATCCACAGAATTCTACTCGGCTTACATTAAGCCTACTTTTGGTTTCTGCTCTCTTTCTATAGAAAAGGATGGTGATTTGGGAAGTTTGCATTTAGAATGTGTCTTCAGGGAAGACAGCCTGCTAAGAGAGAAACTTCAAGAATCATCATCATCATCTTTGCTCCTTCCCCAATGGATAAAGATGTAATATCTCTTTAGATAACAGCATCTTTAGACACATCCTTATCTACCTGAAGTGGTCATTATGAATTCTGACTAGTATCTAAAGTCAGGTCTTTTTTTGGAAGCATATAGAAATCTACTTCAATATCTGGCTCCTCAAGTTTTACTTCTGTTGAGTTCCAGCCTGTTTCACATGACCTGCAGCAAAGTTACTACACGTGTAAGACCATGAATCCCTGTGTGACCTTAAATAAGATGGATCCAGTAACAGACATGGTTCTCCAGGAAACAATGTGAGGCAGAGATATGAGTAGATTGTGAGAGGTCTCTTCCTTCCCATAATTCTACATTTCAGATATTTAGGAGGGAAAATCAGTAAGCCCCCAAACATTCTTCCAATTATTTTCCAACCACAGTTAGATATTATCTACAAAGAAAATCTCTTGAAGCAGAAGCACAAACTTATTTTAAGGACTCTCAGGTTAAATAATAAGCAAATCGCTAGGGAAAAAAACCCTTAACTATTATTATGTACTCTTCTTATTTAATGTGTAGATACTAAAAAATGGAAGAAGTATTTTAGTTATAAGAAACTGGAAGCAGAAGATAATCGACAATCCATTCTCTTGTGTTCCAGGAAAAGGCTGGTAAGGAACCCCTCAGGCATGCCAGAAACTTTTTAGGAACAAGACTAAACCCGTCTTGTTAATTCAGGTGAATCCTTTGAAGCTAGAGAGGTAAACAGGTATCTGTCCCCAGAGTCAGTTCTGACTGACCAGAAAGTCAGGTGGGGAAAAAAAAAGCAAGATTTCAGAAATTAAGCTCATCATCCTCCCCAACCTTCCCACCTCTGGGAATGGCACCACCATCCAGCGCTTCCCAGGCCAGACATGGAGTTTTCTCTGACTCCCCTCTCTCCTTCACTCCCCATATCCCTCCAACCATCTGGAACAGGTAACTTGCCCTCCAAATTTTGCATGCGTCTCCTCTCTCTGCCTGTACTACAATGACCCAAGTTCAGGCTGCCTAACTCCTCCCCTGACTGGCTGAACCATGGCTAATCAGTTTCCTGAGCAAGAGCGTTATCGCCCCTCCATCTGCTCTCTACTCTCTAGCCACCAAGGTCTTTCTACAATCCTTCCTTGGCTTCCCTCTGCCCTCAAAATAAACTCTGAATTCCTCTGCCTGGCTTTTCAGGCTCCCTTTGCCGGCTCCTGCTTACTTCTCAGTCTTATCACTAAATCCTCCATCTCTCTCCTATTCCCGTAACAGAAGACTCAGACAGGTTAGTAACGTGAAGCCCACTGCTGATCAGAATACAACACTTTGCTTAGCTGGTCTTCTGTGACCCATGTGAGATGTGAAGCCATTTGCTGCTACCATGAAAAGAAGAGAAGGCAAGTGTCAGGAGACTAAATGGCCTTTCACTTCTCCCGAGCTGCTGGTTAAGTTAGGCTAAAAGGGGAAAATAGTGTTTGGCTTTGGAGGCATTTCTGTACTCACCTTTGAACATGGGTGTATCTGATGATGAAGGGATTTCAAGGGAACTAATAAAGACAGAGTCAGACCACATGAGAACAGGCAACTGTGTTATCCAACACAGTTTATGAGAAAAGGCAATCCTCTGGGCTGGTTATAGATACCTGGCCTCTGTCTTGTCTAGGAATAGAGTGATATTTAGATCTAGAGTCATCCAAGTTTATAAAGCACCTACTAGGTACATACTGGACACTCTCAGAACACATAGCGGCCTGGGTATTAGGATCCCCTCCATTTCAGGGAAGAAGGGCTAATTAACATGCCAAGGTTACAGAGCGAAGAAATGAGTAGCTACAACTCAAGTCCCGGTCTTCTGACCCCAAGCTTAGCTCCTCGGTCAGCAATCTCTCTGAATTGAATTTAAATATTAAAGGTATTCACTAGCTAAGGGGGAAGACTGAACCTGCCTTTTCACCCCCATTGAGTGGGACCTTGCAAAGGGGAGGGGTGAGAATGGCTGCTAAGGAATATAAACTCCATCAAATACACAGGCTTTCCCACCCTGCACATGACGCATCAGCTAGCTAGCTGAGAAACTGAACACGGGTAGAACGTGGAGGGTTTTGCCTGAGCAAAGCAGGCAGAATGCCAGCCACCACCACAAAGAGAGGACTTCTAAGGAACAACACGCAGAGGCTTAGAGGTTCTGAAGTTTGCTGTGAAGTCAAAGGGAAGAGAAACAGTCAACCAGCCACTCGGGGCCTTTCTTGCTAGTTTGCTCCAACTGGAGACCTGATTCATGGGTGGGTGAATGCCATCTGAATATGACAGTGCAAAGATGCCTAAAGAGGGGTCAGGCAACTTCTAGTTGATGATACCAAAAAGATAAAGTCCTGGCACTGTGCTAGATGGGTTTATTTATCATAAGATGTAATTTTCACAACCTGGTAAGGCAGGTATAATTATCCCTATGAGATTAAAACTCCAAAAAATTAGGTAACTTGCCCAAGTCACAGTAGTTAAGTTGGAATATGAGCCCCAGGCTCTGGGCCTTTGGCCTGAGCTGCCTTCATCATAGCCCACAAGCACCATAAAACCAGAGAAACCAGAGCATAAGGTAAACCCACACTTGGTCACTTTCCAGTTTCTGCACGCACAGAGCAGGCTGCACACATTCTGGTACTCTGGCCTTCCACGGTCCAATAAGGCATCCTCGGAAAGGAAAGGGAAGCAGGCAGTGAGCACGCGCGGGAACCAGCCCTGGGCATCAGGGCAGCCACAGGAAAACTGGGCTGTGGCTTTGTGTCACCCACTGCCCTCTGCTGGCCACTGGAAAGAGCAGGCGGAAAGAGGACCAAAGATTCATTTCAGGTTGAAGGGTCAAGAGGTGATGATGACAGATTTTTAAAAACGTTTTATTAGAGAAAAACTCAAACTTATAAAAGAAGAGTAGATCATGTCTCATGTTTCTTCAGTCAGCTTCAACAATATATCAATTCAGGGCAAATTTTGTGTCCTCTACCCCTAACCCCCTTCCCTCCACCATGTTTTATTTTAAAGCAAATCTCAAACATCCTGTCATTTCATTTGTAAAAATGTTAATATGTATTTCTAAAAGAAAAGAAAAATTTAAAAACCCTGTAACACATGATCACAGCTAAAAAATAAAAAAAATCCATAAATTTAATAATTCCTTATGGGTCAAGAAGCCCAAAATAGAAAAAAAAAAAAGAAAGAAAGAAAGAAAACCCAAAGCATTCAGTCTCACCCAAGAAGTTGCAATCATGCAAATCACAGATTAACAGTCTGAACCACCCAAGCAAACAAAAACACCTCATCTTCAGCCTTGCCAGGATAAACCAGCAGGAACATAGATTAAATAAATATCTTAATTGGAAATGCAAAGCTATGCACTCCTGTGCAGTAGGAAGATCTTCAGCTGGTAGATCTGGCACATGAGCTACTAAATCTTTTTTGAATTTTTGGCTGAATCTTTCCAAAGACTCAGGAGGTGCAGCACTGTGTCCTTGGGGCCAAACACAGCTGGGTATCCAGGAAGCTGGGGTGAGAGGTTAAGAGGTGTGACCACACCAGCTTCCTGGCAATTTCAGTCCAGAGATCAGAATCAGGCTGAAAGATTACTCCCTACTTGGCGTTACCTATCTATCACCAGTACCATCCATCACCCAGTACTGCAAATTTCTATTTACACATCTGTCTCCCCTTCTAGATTATGAACTCCCTGAAGACAGGACGGTGTGTTCACTTTTGCATCCTGCACGGCTGGCACATTAGAGAGGCTCAGTGGATGGTCACATAAAGAAAGACCGAACTAGGAAAGTCCATCATTTGACAATACCAAGTGTTGGAGAGAATGGGGAGAAAAGAGAACTCTCATTTCCTGCTAGTAGGACTATAAATTGATAAAACCCCTCTGGGGGGCAATATGGCAATACCCAAAGATATGTTCAAATGCTTAAGCGCATAAAACAAGAACAGGATGTTTTAAAATTTTTTTGAAAAATATATATTCAGGGGCGCCTGGGTGGCTCAGTTGGGTAAGTGTCTGACTCCTGATTTCAGCTCAGGTCATGATCTCAGGGTCGCGAGATCGAGCCCTACATAGGGCTCTGCGCTCAGCATGGAATCTGCTTGAGATTCTCTGCCTCTCTCTCTGCCCCTTCCCCTGCTCGAGTGCACACATGTGTACACGCTCTCTCTATTAAGTAAATCTTTAAAAAAATAAACAAAAATGTACATTCAGAGAATAAAAAAAGAACACAGAAAGAGCTCCTGGAAATTAAAAATACAATAGCAGAAATAAAATACTCAAGAAAGGTTGGAAGCTAAAGTTGAGAAAATCTCCCAGAAAACAGAGCAAAAAGAGATAAAAAACAGGAAACAAAAGAAAGAAAACCAAAGGGCTCTTTGAGGAGGTCCAATATCTGAATAAAAGGAGTTACAGAAAGAGAAGAGAGAAAACAGATGGGAAGAAGGTAAAAAAAACAATTAAAGAAAAATTTCTTATATTCTTATTTTCTGAGGTTCCAAAATGAAAGAACAATGAGTACCCAGTGAAGTAGATAAAAACAGATTCATTATCAAAGCATATCACTGAGAAATGTCAGAGCCCTGGGGGCAAGTGAAGACCTAACTGGCTTCCAGAAAGAATATATACAAAAGAACAAAGGACTGAGAATCAGAATGGCTTTGGACCTCGACAGCAATCCTCAAGTGAGAAGATAATCGGAATAATGATATCGAAATTCTTAAAAAAATGATTTCTAATCCATCTCCAGCCTAAGTGTCAATTGTATGTGAGGGTAAGCTAAAGATACTTCTAGTTATACATGGTCTCCCAGTTTGCCTCCCTGCATCCCTTCTCAGGAAGTTACTGGAGGCGTGCCTCACCAAAATGAGAGTGTACACCACGAAAGTAAAAGACACAAGAGACAGGAGACAGGGGAAGACAATCTCCGTGGGAAAAGAAAGTCGTGCAGGGAAGGAAAAGTGTATGATACGGCTCACCTATGAATCATAGTAACAGAGTCATACGCTGTAAACTCTGACGACTGGCTTCACCAAAGCTACACAGCAACTACCAGAGGACCCAGGGAAGGGAGGGGTGAGCATGTGCGGCGGGGTGGGTACAAGAGCTGAATTCGAATCTGCCAGAGTGAGAAGTCCACAGATGATGCTGACCACGGAAAAGGAGAGAAGCAGCGGTATATACCTACTATTTAGCAAACTGACAGTGGACATAAAACCAAGCCACTAGGAGAGTTAGCAGCAGTTGTCTCTGGAGAGGGGAAATGGCGGCGGGGGGTGGGGGGGGAGAAGGGCAAGGTACTATTGCTTTGGCAACAATATGCACATGTGACTTTCATAAATCCTAAAATGAGGGGACAACCTGCACACAAGGAGTTATTCAGAAAAGTGAGAGGGGCAGTAAGCCTTCCAACAGCACCTCACATGAGGGGTCTGATGGTTTTAGATCAGATGACAGTGCTGTTTTGCCTGTCTGTACACCAGTGCTATGTCCTAGTTCACGACCACCACACTTCAGCACTTCAGAAGTACTTGCAGGATACAGATGCAGCTTTACGTTTTAATCAGGAATGCTGAGGCCACTCAATCCAGCAGGTACATTAAGCCTGTATCTTTGAAAAGGAAATGATTTTACTTTGCAAATAACAATTAGATGTCTCTAAGAGGACATTTTGAGGTGTTGGTTCAGAGGCTCTCCCCTTGCCCCCTCCCTTGACTGAGAGCTCGCATAACCCAGAGCTCCAGGACTCGGCCCAGCTAACAAACACAGGAAACGAGGGTGGCAAACGGTGATATAGGAGCTTTGTATAGAAATATGTACATTTGCGTAATAGGTCTTTTCACGCTTTATATGTAGCTTTTTACCTGTAACCTTCATTACATTGTGAATTAAACGTAACTCTTGTCAAAAACAAAAACAAAACAACAACAACAACAAACAACCATGGATTTTCGGAAGTTCTTACCAGCAGTGAAAATGCCTTTGGTGCTCTGTTTCATACTAGAAGGTCTCACAATTGCTGAAAGCCCTGTGAGAGAAAACCAGCAAGGATGCCAAAAAAGCCAGATGTTAGTCATCTTAACACTTTTAAAACCTAAAACGTAATATTCTTTCCAGTTATCCAAGAAAACCAGCAAATCCAGCTCTGCCCTGGTGTCGCAGAATGACAGTGGAAGGGGTATCAGGATTGAGGGCCAGGAGACCGGAGCTGCCAGCTCTGTCACCGACCAGCTGTGTGAGCTCAGGCAATGCCTGCTCCCCTCTGGGCCTGGACCTCCTCACCTTAATTAAAACGGGGGTGGGGGGGTAGGGGGGCCAAGTCACCCTCAAAGGTCATTTTATGACTTTAAATCTGCTTAAGGAGGCTGGATCTCAACCCCAAGATGTGAAATGATTAAAAAGAACCCAAAATTTCTGCCTAGGAGAAAAACTTCCATTCTGAAAACATACATGGGACTCCTCAGTCCTTCATCCTCTCACAAAGGCAGCAGAGATCATATTGTGACCAGAATCATGTTAAAATGAAAACAAACAACGTGGCTCCTCACTTATCTTCAGAATTGGTACCTGGGAACCTAAACACATGCTCTGACAGCCTGGGGCAGGTTCCTGGGAGAGTGCGTCACTGGAGGGGCATCTGGGGCAGTAGCTTTCATCTTTGAGGAGCTCAGGAAATATTTACTCAATAAAACAGGAGAACGTGCTCATCTGGGGAAGGGAGTCCTTTTCAATCATGATTATTTCTTTACTGACAGCCCTCGTGAATTATCTTTAACGCCTCAAAGGGAAGTGGGTCTCTGAAGATAAGCTTTTTGGGTAAACATTGGGAAGGCCCTGGGGATAATATGTGGAACATGGGCCATGTCAGAGGGAACTGACGGAACACATGATGAGACACAGTGAACGGGAGTCGGCTGATGAAAGCTGTGCTCCTCATGTTAGAAAAGCGCTAAAAATGGCACTAGTCGTCTTTCTCAGACCACCATGAAGGACACAGAGGAGTCTTCGGAATAACTTCTAGAAGTTATGCTCCTGGAACCAAAACAAACATTGTTGCCCCCTTTGACAGTGATTTAGGACCTAGGAATCTGAAAACAGAAGTACTTTCACCACCCTACTTCAAACAAATGACAATTTAGATTTGGAAAAACCCCAGATTGTTAGTGCTTTCTTCTTCCCTGAGACAATCTGTCTCTCGATCTCTCTAGGCAAGAAAGAATAAAGAATACACCTCAGTCACAAAGTTTGCTTTTTACCCATGGCCAGCACTTCCTTGACGTCAAATCCATAAACATACCTAGTCGCACCACTTCTCCACAGTCAGGATCATGAGCAACTTGCAATAAAGTTTCTTCCACATCTCTGTTTTTTCCAGGAGGGTCCATAATATGATTTATTTGTTGCTGTAAGGTTTTGGGCAATGTCATTAGCTGAGTGAATTGTCCTTCTGGGCTTTTATCTATCTAAGGGGGAAAAAAAAAGATATGTCTATGGAAAGTTCTTTGAATTCTATAACGATTCAAAGAAACATGGCTTCTCTTTCAAGTCATATAAACATACATGAACCCATTCCCTAAACTGGGCAGCACGCTAAGGAGAATTGCTCCTTTCTGAAACTGAATGCACAAGAGTTCAGATGCTAAGTTCCTTCAAAAAGGCCAACTCTTTTCCTACAGTAGTCCACTTTCACATGAGAAAAGAATAGAAGCCTCTTTAAAGGATCAATTTCTGACTCTCAGTTTTAAAATTTCTATTTGTCTTACATCCAGCAGTTGAAGGAAGTGAGGCTGCTGCTAACATTCGCTGAGGCTCAGCAAATCCAGGCACTCAGACTCTCTCTCCCACTTTCAACACAGGGGCAATGAGCGACACAGCCAGGGTCATGACGCCAATCGGAGAGAGCAGCGCCTAACCTCATGTCTCCTGCCTTCTGGGCCTTTTTATTCATTATGCTGTATTTCATTAACTGTGGGAATAAACTAAGGACAAGGACTAAAGTTATTTGCTTTTAATCCCTTGGCACACAGTAGGTAGTCAAAAAACACTGGTTGAGTAAGGGAATGAATAACTGAATCAATAAAACTTAGTTGTCATTATTTCTTAAGTACGATTAAATTACACCAGTGGTTTCTGTGCCCCACATATTCTAAATACATCAAGCTGAAAGATAAATACAGAAATAAAACATACAAACTATGCATCAGACTTGACTTTGAATCCAAAGTTAGCCACAGAGCCGAGGCCACACCTAGCTTCCCTAACTCCTAGTCTAATATACTCTACTTCAAGGAACTAAGTTTTTACAAAATCATGTAAACATTGCCTGCCTGCCAAGGTGAGAACCAGTAGCGCTGCCCTCATTGGCTCATCCCATTATTTTTCAGGTAAGAATCTGTCTTGTATTCTTTTTTTTTTTTTTTAAGATTTTATTTATTTATTTGACAGAGAGAGACACAGTGAGAGAGGGAACGCAAGCAGGGGGAGTGGGAGAGTTCTGGAGAAGCAGGCTTCCCGCGGAGCAGGGAGCCCGATGCGGGGCTCGATCCCAGGACCCTGGGATCATGACCTGAGCTGAAGGCAGACACTTAACTGACTGAGCCACCCAGGCGCCCTGTCTTGTATTCTTTCAACAAATGTTTAGGTTTTAACTTTGACTAAGAGAACAGTAAGAAAAAAACCAGACAAATGAATGCAATAAATTTTAGATTCAGATTTTCCAGATATGACTAACTTTCTTATTAACACTTAGAATTCACTCATTCTACCACTTTTTTTATTTAATAAGTATTTATTGAGTAGTAATGTCTAGATTTTCTAGTTTTCTATAAAATTTATGCAAAGAAGAACAAAGTACTATTATCTAGTGGCTCCAGTAAAAATTAAGGTCGTTTTTTTTTTTAACCTGAGTATTTCATATTTATCATTAAAAGGATTCTAAATTCACAGGATTTGAACTCTATTTAGCTTTGCTTCAATAAGTGACAAAAACTGTGGATATTACTGTATAATATATTAGAAATAACATTTATGGACTCATATTTTGGGGCTAAGAATTGAGATTAGTCAAAAGGATCTTCTATTACTGTAAGGCTTTATCTACGAAGCTTTCAGGAATTTCAGAGATACCAAAATGGCTTGAGTAATATGAGGAGTTAAAAAAAGAGTATTTGCCACTGCTTTCTCTTGAGGAAAAGAATGCACTGGAATTTTTGCTTGAAAGACAAAATACTAGGTGATATTTTCAAATAAATTGTTAAATTCTGTGTAATTATCCTTTTTGATTCTCATTAAAACATGGAAGTGAAAGCATTCAGTTAAATCATGAGAGTCAGTAAATAAAGAAGAAATTTTTTAAAAAATCGTGAAAGTCAAACTGCATTTTAAAAGCAGATAAGACCACATACTGTATGGTTCCATTTATATGAAGTGTCCAGAATAGACAAATCCATACAGGCAGAAAACAGATTATTGGTAGCCTGTTGGGAGGGGAAGCTAGGGACTACCAATGGATGTGGGGTTTCTTTTTCGAGTGATGGAAATGCTGTAAAATTAGACTGTAGTGATAGTTGCACAACTCTGTGAATACACTAAAAACCACTGAATTTTATGGTATGTGAATTATATCTCAATAAAGCTGATGTTTTAAAAAAGCAGATGTGGTCACCTGGTACTGGGTGCTGTATTGTACCACCCAGGTGCTGGCTTAAGGGCCAAGGTACTCGTTTCACTAGCTGCTGGGAAAGTTGGCTGATTCCCTCTCTTAGAGTCCCTCCTAGACTTGTCCTCAGCCAAAGGGAGCTGCCTGGATCCAATGACTGGATGATGCAGGAGTACAAAGGCCTGGCCTCTCTGCCCCAAGATGGGACAACCAGGAAAGGCCATCTAGTTCCACAGTGCCACCGTAGGATCAGATGAGGGCTTGTTTCAGATCCGCTCAATCCTGACTGTACACAGCAGGTACGAGGAGCAATCCTAAAGAGCATACTCTATGACGGCATTTTAGAGCTGACATACCATGGAAGGCCAAGCGGAAGCCTCTGAAGCTGCCATTTTACCTCTTACACAAAACAGTAATTAAAAAAAACAACAACAAACACCACATCTCAGGAGGAAAAGCAGAGATTAGTGCTATCTGTAAACCTAAAGGATGCAGGGGTGTGATGTTTAATTTTGTGTCACTTGGCTAGGCTATAGTGCTCAGTTGCTTGGTCAAACATTAGTCCAGATGTTATTATAAAAGTATTTTTTTAAGGATATAATTAACATTTAAGTCAGCAGACTCTGAGTAAAGCAGATTACCCTCTATAATGCAGGTGGGCCTCATCTAATCAGTCAAAGGCCTTAAGAAAAAAAAGACTGAAGTCTCCGAGGAAGAAGGAATTCTGCCTCCAGATTGCCCTCAGACTCAAAAAACTACAACATACTCTTCCCTGGGTCTCCAGCCTGCTGGCATGCTCTGCAAATTTCAAACTCGTCAGCCTCCACGATTTAATTCCTTAAAATAAATCTATCTCTCTGTATATATATCCTACTGGCTCTGTTTCATTGGAGAACACTGACTAATACAAAGGCTAATGGTCCCCATCATATTTCCATTAAGTCTGGTCCTCACAAAATCCAAATGGGTTCTGGAAGATTATCCAGACTACCACAACTCAACCAAGTAGAAGTCCCAGTTACATCTGCTGTGCCGAACATGGTAAATCTGTTAGAGCAAGTCAACAGAACTGGAGGTATCTGGAAGGGGCCAAGACATGGGGAATGCATTCTTTTCCATCTTTATTAGGAAGGAGGATCAGAAGCAGCTCGCGTTCATGAGATAGACAATAGTATATCTTATGGTTTGCCTCAGGGCTGTGTTAACTCTCCCATCCTCTGTCATAAGATAACCCAAGGAAACCAGACTATGTGGACATTCTGTATAATCTCAGGCTGATCCACTACATCAACGGTATGTTGCTACTGTTACCTGGTAAACAATAGGGGCAAGTACATTGGAGTGCCTGGTAGATAAATGTACTCCAGAGGGTAGAAGATAAATCCTATGACGTTTCAGGAGTCTACCACATCAGTGAAGTGTTTAGGAGTCAAGTGGTCTGATGCATGGTGGGACATCCTCTCCAAAGTAAAGATCAACTTCTTGCATCTCGCACCTCTCACTGCTAAGAATGAAGCATGAGGCTTGGTAAGCTTCTTCAGGTTTTGGAGGCAGCAGATTCCACACTTGGCTGTAATGTTCAGACCCATTAACCAAGTGGTAAAAAAGGATGCCTGGTGTGTGAGGCTGAGAACAGAAAAGAGCTCTGCAACAGATTCAGGCAGCAGAGCAAGCAGCCCCCCACTTGGGCCAAACAACTCTGTAAATTCTAGAGCGCTAAAGGTGTCTTCACTAAAAGAAGCCACAGGAAGCTTGTGGTAGGCTTCCAGTAGGAGAATCACAATGTAGACTGCTAGGGTTCTAGAGCAAGACCATGCCATCTGCAGTGAAGAACAAGACTTCATTTGAAATCAGCTCCTAGATATGAGACCCTGGTAGAGATGGAGCTTCTAACCATGGAGTAACAAAAGACCATGCATCAAGAACTGCCCATCACGAGCTGAGATCTCTCATATTCACCAAATCTTAAGGTCAGGCAGGCTCTACAGTAATCCACTGTAAGATAGAAGAGGTACACTAGCATTCAACATGAGTAAGGCCAGAGGGCACAAGTAAGATGCACACACAGGAAACCCAGGCCTCATAATATCCACTCTGCACTGTTGTACCAGTGCATACCATCCTATTTCTTCACTGGTTCATGCATATGGCTACATGGAGGATCCCCTGTGACTGGCTTTCAGAGGATAAAGGATGAACTTGCTGCATGGAGGATTTGGCTTGGTATGTACAAGCTGAAAATGATGCATTACAGCCTCACTCAGGGATAGCCCTGAAAGACATTAATGAGGAGAAATCCCTCCCAAATGGGTATGCTCCAGGTAGTGCACCTGGTCATCCACTTTACATGGAGAAAGTAGCCTCAGGAAAGAAGATACAAAGACCCATGGGGAGTGAAGCATGGTTTGCTGATTGGTTGGGCCCAAAAGGAAAAAGACTGGAAGACTAAAGACAAAAAACTAGGGAGAAAAGGCATGTGGATGGATCTATGGGAGGTGTGCACAAAGTGTGAAGATCTTTGTATTTTGCTAACGTCCATGAGAAAGCATCCTTCACAGAAGAATCAACAATAACCAAAAGGACAATTCAGCCAGTTAATTCACTAGTCTCTGTCATCCCAGTGCTGGCACAATGGTTTTTAAAAGGAGTAGCCATAGTGGCAGGGAATGAGGCTCTGCCTAGGTCCAAGGCTGACTTAGCTACTGCTGTTGTTAAAGTCTATCCTGACAGCAACAGAAGCCAACACTGAGATCCTGGTAATAGGATCATCTCTTGAAACTAACCAGCCACTTGGTGGAAGTTCACTACATCAGACCCTTTCCACCTGGGAAGGGGCAGTAATTCATCTTAATTGGAAGTAACACATATTCTGAGCATGGGTTTGCCCTTCTTGCCCACAGGACCTAGCCAGCACCATTACAGGGCTTACAGAATGCTTGCTTCACCAACATGGCTGTACCATGTAACATCACTTATGGGACCCATTTTAGAGCAAAAGAGGTACAGAGGTTCAGCAATGGGCACAGGACCATGACTCTACTCTTCCTACCATATACTGCACCAAAGCTACCAAACTGATAGAACAGTTCTCAAAAAGGGGAAATCTGGGGTCTACACAACAAAGAATTATCCAGCCTAAAATGCTAATAGTGCCATCATTAAAAAATCCTATGACAGAGCAATGAGGAACAGCTGAGCCAGCAGCTTGGAGATGATACCCTGTGCGAATGGGGTACAGTACACATCCTAAATTAATGCCCGTTATATAGTACCTCATTCCCAACTGGTGGAATGCATAGGTCTGGGAACCAAGGGATGGAAGAAGTAACCTTGCTTCCCATTGTTCCCAGTGACACACTCAGGAAATGTGTGCTTCCCATCCCTACAACTTTAGGACTTTAAACTTAAAAGCTAGGACTGCCACCTACTCTCTTCAGATTCCACGCCCAAAGTCCTGCAGACACAGAAAGGAGTAGCGCCACAGTGGCAGAAGTAACTGATCCTGATCATCAGAGGTAGGGCTGCTGGTACACATCTCTTAGTACCCTGTGCCCAATTTTGACGGGAAAGAGAAAGGGCAGCAATCATAGCCTGAAATGGGCAAGGTGACCGGGTCTCAGATGCCTCAGGGATGAGGGTTAGGGCCACCTCGTCTAGCCCAGCACAAGTGCTAGAAGGGAGTTTTGAATGGGTAGCATGGGAAGGAGCAGGTTGGTGTCAGTTACAGCTTCAGCAGTGCTGGGAACTGTAATTCGGCCCACGAATCTTACTCTTGTGAGCTTCCCCAGGATAAGAGATCAATTAGAACTTAGATCATGCAGGCTTCCCAGGCCATAGCAAGGAATTTGGAATGGTTTATCTTCAGGGTTAAAGAAAATTCCCAGCCCTTTCCCCTTGCTCAGTTTACTGAAAGTTGGCAGCTAAGCACATTATCCTTCCTGAACCCAAATCAGGGAATAGATGATGTCCCTTTGGAGAAATTCTACAGATACTGACACTAAGAGAAACAGAGACAATGTAGAGAGCAAGATAAAATTTCAAAAATTATAATAAAGACCACTAGAAGGGTGATAAAAGATAATGCATTTGGAAAACAAGAACAGGATGCTATAAGAAAAAAAGAACATTCAAAGGAAATTAAAAATTTAATAGCAGTGCTAGAAGATCAATTTGAAAAATTCTTCTGGAAAGCAGAACAAAAACCCCAAAGAAACAGGAAGGAGGCAAGAGAAATTAAAAAGATCAAACCAGGAGGTCCGACAACCAGCTAACAGGAATTCCAGAAACAAAGAAAATGGATATGAAGAAATTATTATAGAAATAACAAAATTTCTTAGAATTGGAGTTCACGAGTTTCCAGACTGAAAAGCCTCATGAAGTGCCAGAATAATGGTGAAAAACACATATACAAAGACAAACCATCATGAAATTTAAGACTGGAAAAAGGGAAAAGATCCTAAACACTGTCCTAGAGCTAAAAAGGTCACATCCAAAGGATAGCAATCTTTTTTCTTTTAATTTTATTTATTTATTTTTAAAGATTTTATTTATTTATTTGACAGAGAGAGACACAGTGAGAGAGGGAACACAAGCAGGGGGAGTGAGAGAGGGAGAAGCAGACTTCCCGCTGAGCAGGGAGCCCGATGAGGGGCTCGATCCCAGGACCCTGGGATCATGACCTGAGCCGAAGGCAGACGCCCAACGACTGAGCCATCCAGATGCCCCCAAAGGACAGCAATCTGAATGTCACTGGACTTTTATTATTATTATTTTTTAATTTATTTGAGAGAGACTGAGAGTGAGAGAGATCACAGAGGGAGAGGGAGAAGCAGACTCGCCACTGAGCAGAAAGCCCAACGCGCGGCTCGATCCCAGGACACTGAGATCATGACCTGAGCCAAAGGCAGACGCTTACCTGACTGAGCCACCCAGGACTTTTAAACACAACACTTAGAAACTAGAAGAAATGATACTATGACTTAAAAAGTCTGAGGGAAAATTATTTCCGACCTAGAATGTGATATGCAGCCCAAACTATCTATCAGTGCAAAGGTAGAATGTTCAGATGTATATGGTCTCAAAAAATGTACCTCACTGGACTTTTAAACACAACACTTAGAAACTAGGAGAAATGATGCTATGTCTTAAAAAGTCTGAGGGAAAATTATTTCCAATCTAGAATGTGTTATGTAGCCCAAACTATCAATCAGTGCAAGGGTAGAATATTCAGATGTACATGGTCTCAAAAAATATACCTTCCTCGCAACCTATGTTAGAGAGGTACTAAAAGGTATATTTCACCATAAATTAAAGTGTAGCCATGCAAAAGGAAGATAAAAGATGCAGAAAATCAAAACCTAGCAAAGGAGAGAGGCAGAAAGAACCCTCAGGGTAATAATGAAAAGATGCTCCAGGAGAACAGCCATGCCACAAGCCTAGAAAACAACCAGTCCAGAAAGAACAGGGCACATGGGGCTCCAGGAAGAAACGTCCCCAAGAAAAATAAGAAACAGAAAATACTTGAGGTGTTGGTGTATGATGAGAGAAGCTATAAAGATTTTTAAGAGGGTATGAATTAGTGACAGGAACAAAGAAAATCAAGCAAATGAAGAAAATGAGACAATTATTAACTCCAAGAAAAACAAATTTGTACAGGAAAGGAAATTTCAAAGTAATATATCTCAGCAATGAAGAAAAAGTAAGTTTCATAATAATGTAAATAGTGAATATTAACCTAACCAAAAATTATGAAATCACTGTATGTGGAGCAAGAGGGAGTGAGGCAGGAAGGGCGGTGTGTGCGTGCGCAAGTGTGCACACGTGCGTGCCTGTTGGTGGGAGTGACAAGAGAGAGGAAAAAAATCCTCATCTTCCATAGATGGAGGACAAAAATAAAGTATGAAACAGAAAAAACAATCAAGAAATCACAGTCAGATTATAGTGTTTAGAAACAGGGAGGTAAACACAGGACCCGCTAATGAGATGAAAGCAGTGGCCTCTGGAAAGCAGCACTGAGAAGAAGGTGCCGAGCACAGAACTGCTACTTTTTGTTATAAACCTTGAGGTCCCATTTGGTTTTTAAACCACGTGCGTGCATGTAAAAAAGTAAAAAAACTTGCAAAATTCGTTCAACTGACTGGTGGGTATTCCGGGCATTTCATGTTACTCTTTTTTTTTGTTTAAAAAAATTCCTTTTTTTTTTTTTTTCAAAGTTCCCTTTTAGTTGTAGAAATTCCCTTAATTCTATATTCAAAATAATATTAATTGCCCCTATTATTTGGAAGAGGAAGAGCATTTAAAAAGTAAAATACATAAAAAAAACAACTGTGGTTTCTAGAGTTTTAAAAAATCTTTTTTTTTCTTAAGATTTCATTTATTTATTTGACAGAGAGAGAGAGACAGCATAAGCAGGGGGAGCGGGAGAGGGAGAAGCAGGCTTCCCACCGAGCATGGATCCTGATGCGGGGCTCGATCCCAGGACCTCAGGATCAGGACCTGAGCCGAAGGCAGACACCCAATGACTGAGCCGCCCAGGCGCCCCGAGGTTTAAAAAAATCTTAAATTCAAATTACTTTCTCAAAGGAAAAGTCCTTTAATATTTATTTAATATTTATTTTCAAATACTTAATAATATCATTTTTAAAGATATCCGGAAAGAAAGTTCCATTTAATATAACAAAAGGAAAGCCAAGACATAATAAACATAACAAGTGAGGAAAAAAATAAGCGTCAGAATACTATGTGTAAGAGTCTATTTACATAGAACAAAACCAAACAAAAAAAGACCAAACTTCTTCATACATGTGTATATGTACAAATAAACACAAAAATGCACACAAAAAGAGATCTGGGAGAATATATGCTAAACTGTCAGTAAGGTTATGTCTGGGGAAGCAAGTAGGATTGGGGACGAAGATGCCAAATTTGAGAATTTATTTTCACTTGTTTTTGATTGGTAACTAGAACGCATAAAAATTTCAAAAGGCAAAAAAGATACACATGGTAAAGACAGGTCCCTCTCCCACATCAGCCCCAGGTTCCCTTTCCCAAAGGTGGCCTCTTACTGCTAGTCTCTTATGTTACCTTTTAGCTTTATTCCAAATACGTAGACTAGTATGTTTACGTTTGAAACCTACTTTTCGAACTGTAAATGTTATCACACTAGTCATATTGCTCTAACCCTTACTTCTTCCTCTTAAAATAGCTCTTGCCTTAGAAACACCATAAATTATTTCCCACATACAGTTTACCTCCAGTCTGCCTTGCTGGATCTTATACACCACTTGGGGATTCTCCTGCAGTATGTTGCCATAGAGCTCACGAAAGTGGGCTATGTTGGGCTTCACAATATTCAGCACTTTTGTCTTATCCTCTCCAACCACCATCCGAAAGTCGCCTGGTTAAAACAAATGGAAAAACAAATTTTCCATTGAGAGTCCACATCCTGACCTATAAACTACAGCCCCACATTCATCCTACGCTAGTTCAAGACGGCATCATCCCACATTCAAAACATTGGTTTTTCTTCTTTAAAACTGTGAATATATTACCCAAGGAATGCAGGCACTTGTTTAGGGGAAAACAGAGCCTCTCAAATCCTAAAGCCCTTGATGCCAGTTAAAATGCAGTTACCTAAGTGCAAAAGGTAATCATCATTGAGAAGCTGATTTGTTTTTGTTTTTCCAATGCAGAAGCACCTAATCTTACAATCTTTCATCCTGTGAGCAAAACTCTGTGACCAATCACAGACCTGGGGGCTGTATGTCACCTTAGACATGCCCTTGCTACTGCTTACTCAGCTTGGACCTCTTTGCTGTGTTTGTGCAAGGGCTTTTGTGGTACTTTATGAATATAAAGAACTTTAATCACATTTGATAAGTGCAAGAGCGGCGAGTGTTAAGCGGCTCAGGTCATGATCCCAGAGTCCTGGGATCGAGCCCCGCATCGGGCTCCTTGCTCGGTGGGGAGCCTGCTTCTCCCTCTCCCACTCCCCCTGCTTGTGTTCCCTCTCTCGCTGTGTCTCTGTCAAATAAATAAAATCTTAAAAAAAAAAAAAGAGTCCTAGTAAGACGAGGTTTACATTTAAGAGGGACTTCTTGAAAGCAGATACCGTTTGTTACACTGCAAGCGGCAAGAAATGAGGAACGTTACATTTGCCTAAGAGATGGACTGAACTGCAGAATAAACAGTTCTGAAGGACAAAGAGCCATGCTGATACAAATTTGAGGTGCCCTGGCCTGCTTATGCCATTGACAACGATCAGCAAGACATAGAGGGAAAAAGATGATGAAATGTGCAAACTTGAGGGAATGCCTACTGGACTAATGTGCGTTCAAAAAAGGCCGGGCGCGTGTGAGGGCCTCCCAGGTGAAGGCTGGCGAAAGCACTGTGACTGAAACCGTTCTTGGACAGTTAGAAAGTCATCCAGGAAAGCAGTGAGATAGCAAGTGTAGGCAGGTACCCCAGATAACTGACAAATTCCCAGGAATCAGGTGACAGTGTAATTCATCATTTGAACTAGGTCGCTTTTGAGGGTGAGGTGGGCATGATGAATAATTATACCAGGATGAGTAAAAACTGGGCAAACCCAAACATATGGTTACCCTTGCCAATTAATTTTCTTGGAGGGGATGGCATAGGCAGGAGAGGGAACCATTGAAATTATTATGCGCCACAACAGGTATTACTAGACCAAACTGTTGTTCTGTTTTGGAAAAAATACAGATTACCCAATAGTATCTTTACTATGCTTCAGTAAGGAATAAAATATGCTGGGTTTTGAAGATTCAGAGGACCAACTTATACTAGTTTTGTGGAAAGCAGCTGGGGACTGCAAGCTTCAGGAAAACAAACTTACAAACAGCCTCTGGAACCCAATGTTTGTGACATGAGGTTTGTTCAGGGAAGTGAGGAGAAGTGAGTTCCAGTCATAACAAGCTGCCCCAATACGGATGAACTTATTTTTTCACTATTATTTTATTTTTTATTTTTTTAAAGATTTTATTATTTATTTATTTGCCAGAGAGAGAGAGTGCGAGCACAAGCTGGGGGAGTGGCAGGCAGAGGGAGAAGCAGGCTCCTTGCTGAGCAAGGAGCCTGATGAGCTCGATCCCAGGACCCTGGGATCCAGGACCCATGACCTGAGCCAAAGGCAGCCACTTAACTGATTGAGCCACCCAGGTGTCCCTATTTTATTTTTTTAAAGATTTTATTTATTTGACAGAGAGAGAGAGCCAGAGAGCACAAGTGGGGGGAACAGCAGAGGGAGAAGCAGACTCCCTGTTGAGCAGAGAGCCCAATGCAGGGCTCGATCCCAGGACCCCGAGACCATGACTTGAGCTAAAGGCAGCTGCTTAGCCGACTGAGCCACCCAGGCGCCCCTTTTCACTATTATTTTAAAGGGAAAGAGAGTTATATAGTTAAATTCTGGGATGACGGCTAGAGAGGGTTTAGAGAAATTGGTTCTTTCACATAATACTGATAAAAGCCTTTGGAAAGCAGTAGATGAAACAACCCCATCTCCAGCTTAAAGAAACAGACCCAAACAGAGGTCCTGAGGTAATGTTCGCTGAGCATCTGTTAAGTGCCAGGCACTGCTTCAAGTGCTTTGCTGTATTCATTTAATCCACACATCTCTGTCCTCTCAGAGATACTATTCTATCCCCATTTAGCATCAGGGCAACAAAGACGGAGATGAAGCCACCTACCTGAGATTCCCCAGTAAGTAGGTGAATATACTGCATACATACAACTGTTCACTGAGGCACTATTTATAATACTGAAACACTGGAAGCAGCCCAAATGTCCAACAGCAGAGGAATGGATACGTTACAGTGGTACTCCCATATCCTACCGTGGAACAGTGTGCAACCATTAAAAATTCCAATAATCATACACAGCAAGATGGAAAATGATCATATAATAGTAAAAAACTAAGACACAAAAGTACAATGAGAAAACTTGGTATAAAAAGAGGAAAAATGAGACAAAAAGATTACATAAAAATGTTTTTGCTCTAATAAGTACACATTTATTGTGGGCTTTTTGGGGAGTGTGTGCGCTTTACTCTGTTATCTTGTTTAGTCCTAGCAAAGCCTCCTAAAGAAGGTATTAAGTATTCCCAATTTTATAGATGAGGAGATTGAGGTGCACAGGTCCAGCCACCTCTGGTATCAAGGTAGTGACATTTTCAGTGACTAGTATTACTCTACTTTGCAGTTTTCCTTCATTTCCTTCACTTCTATAATGTTGGCATATTACTTCTAGCCTTTTTAAATAGATGCATGGAGTGCACAGACGTGCCAACTTGGCAAATATGCATGGAGAGGAAGCCGGGTTAATTTTCAATCGTGTAAATCCTTAGGCTTTTATTTAGGGCCTATAAATGGATTCTATCAATCTTGGAAGGGATAAAATGTCATCCAACTCTGAACCTAACATGGCTGGCTCTGACGTGAAAGATCAGTTTGTATCACCGTTGAGTTTTAAATGTGTGTCATTTTTCTTCTTCTTGTACATTCAACAAGGAGTTCTTACATTTTAGACAGTAACTTTCTAAGAGTGGCTGTATTTTACCAAAATGTAAAAGCAAACTAATCCAAAGCCTCCCCCAAAGAGCATCTGCATGTCCTGATTAAAGGGCCTGGAAAATACTCTGGACTCTCTGAGAACAAGGACTGGAGCTTATTCATCCCTGTATCTCCAGCTCCTCGTGCACCGCCTGGCACATGGAAGGCACATCAATAAATGTCTGCTGAATTGGATTTCTCCAACTGCTGTGCAGCCGAACTAGCTCAGCCACAGGGAACAGCAAGCAAATGGGCTTATTACCCATTTCTTCAGAACAAAATGAATAAAATTGTGGGCACAGCATGACCCAGCATTTTGATCATAGGAATCAATTTTTCTTACCTCCAGAGATGTTTGCAACAAAACACAGGGATTGAGAAAAACCGACTGCTGACTTTTATTTTATACCTCTACTGGTAAGTTTAACTCTTGACTGCTCAAGCCAGAAAACTGCCAGTCCAATAACAATGGGTGACCAAAAGGATAATTTATCTTTGACTTTGAAATGAAATAAACCCAGAGGCTTGTAAAGCATCTATAGTTGGCTCACTTGGTGATTCCAGCATGCTGCCAATGGCCAAGGGCCTTATTATGAACGTAGGGATGTAAGGGGCTGTACTGTCCAGGGGAAAGGCCCTGGCTTTCAAGTCTAGCAGTGTCCTAGGGTGACTGGAGATTAACCCTTCTGAGTCAGTTTTCTTACCTGTAAAATGGCTGTAACCATCACACTGACTTCACGAGGTTATTTTTAGATTTAAATGAGTAAAGGCAGTAGTGAATGCTTTGTAAATAGTAAAGCAGATAGTACTGTTGCTATGATATGCATATGGGATGGGGAAAGGATAGGGGGTAGAGGAAGCCCTAAGTCTTTGAAAATAATAACTGGCTAACTTTTCCCCTCTTAAACTCATTGCAATACTGCTGTTATTTCAGTTCAATAAATATTTGGGTGGCTAGTAAGTACCAGGAGCTGTGCCAGATATTGGAGATATAAAGATCTTTGCCCTACCTGAGGCAGGAAGTGCTATGAAAACAGATCATTTCAGTGTGGGTTACAGAAGTGGGTATTTCTTATGTGGTAGTGTTTAAGAACAGTAGCCCAAACTGGATGTTGATATGGCAGAATAATATTCATTTTTTAAAAAAATTTATGTACTTATTTGAGAGAGAGAGAGAAAGTGCACACCCCAGGGGGGAGGGGCAGAGGGACAGAAACTCAAGCCAACTCCATGCTGAGCCTGATGCAGGGCTTGATCTCATGACCCTGAGATCATGACCTGAGCCAAAATCAAGAGTCAGATGCTCAACCAACTGAGCCATCAGGGTGCCCCAAATAATATTCATTTCTTTAAAGATTTTATTTATTTATCTATTTAAGAGAGAGAGAGCAAGCACGAGCAGGGGGAGGGACAGAAGGAGAGGGAGAAGCAAACTCCCTGCTGAGCAGGGAGCCTGATGTGGGACTCGATCCCAGGCCCCTGAGATCACATGACCTGAGCCAAAGGCAGACGCTTAACCAACTGAGCCACCCAGGTGGCCCTAATATTCATTTTTTAACAGCTTTTTAAAAAAGATATAATTCACATACCATATAATTCACCCATGTAAAATATACAATTCATATTTTTTAGTATTTTTAGTACATGTTAAAGGGTTATGCAACCATCTAATTTTAGAACATTCTGGCCTCCAAAAAAAAAACCCTGTACCCATTAGCAGGCACTCTCTGTCTCCCTCCATCCTTCCATCCCCAGCCCTAGACAAAGACTAATCTACTTTCTGTATAGATTTTAGATTTTCCTATTCTGGATATTTTATATAAATGGA